AGTTGCCTACTGTATTCAGTACAGTAACATGTGCACAGGTTTGTGGCCTAGGACAAACAGGCTACGCCATACAGCCTACGCATGTAGCAGGCTATATACCATCTAGGTTTGTGTAAGTACACTCTATGATGTCCACACAATGATGAAACTGCCTAACGACACATTTCTCAGTCTGAATCCCTGTTACTAAGACACACATGAGGGCCAGGTGCGGTGGCTCCTGCCTTTAATCCCAGCACTTTGGAAGGTTGAGGCAGGTGGATCACTTGAGGCCAGGAGTTTGAGACCAGCCTGGCCAACATGGAAAAACCCTGTCTCTGCTAAAACTACAAAAATTAGCTGGGCATGGTGGCACACACCTGTAAGTCCAGCCATTCGAGAGGCTGAGGCAGGAGAATTGCCTGAGGCTGCACTGAGCCGAGATCACACCACTACATTCCAGCCTGGGTGACAGAGCGAGACTGTCTCCAAAAAAAGAGATGCATGACTATATTTTTTTTTTTTGAGATGGAGTCTCGCTCTGTCCTCCTGGCTGGAGTGCAGTGGCGCGATCTCGGCTCACTGCAAGCTCCGCCTCCCGGGTTCCTGCCATTCTCCTGCCTCAGCCTCCCAAGTAGCTGGGACTACAGGCGCCCGCCACTGCACCCGGCTAATTTTTTTTTTTTTTGTATTTTTAGTAGAGACGGGGTTTCACCGTGGTCTCGATCTCCTGACCTTGTGATCCGCCCACCTTGGCCTCCCAAAGTGCTGGGATTACAGGTGTGAGCCACCGCACCTGGCCGCATGACTATAATTTTAAGTCTTTGATTAATGTAAAAGAAGGCAAGACAGGAGAGAAAAAGGGGGACATAACAGATAGGTCAAATAGTAAACAAACAAAAACTAAGGTAATAGATATAAACTCTAACACATCCGCAATTGCATTTAAATGTAAATGGACTAAATATTCTCACTGTAAGAGTATCAGTCTACACTTAAAACACACAAAAAAAACCAACTATATATGCTGCTCATAGAAGATATGCATTAAACATAAGGACATTTTAAAAGTTGAAAGTAGAGGGGGAAAAAAGATAACATGCAAGCATTACCCAAAACAAAGCTGGAATGTAGCTATAGCAATATCAGACAATGAAGACTTTTACCGAGATGAAAAGAGGCATAACATAAGAACAAAGGGTCAGTCCCTAGGAGGATATAAGAATTCTAAATCTGGCCAGGCACGGTGGCTCACGCCTTTAATCCCAGGACTTTGGGAGGCCGAGGCGGGTGGGTCATGAGGTCAGGAGATCAAGACCATCATGCGCCTGTAGTCTTAGCTACTCCGGAGGCTGAGGCAGGAGAATCACTTGAACCCAGGAGGCAGAGGTTGCAGTGAGCCAAGATTGTGCCACTGCACTCCAGCCTGGGCGACACAGCGAGACTCTGTCTCAAAAAAAAAGAATTCTAAAGCTGTAGGCAGCAAATAACATAGCTTCAAACCATACAAAGCACAAGTCAACAGACTAAAAGTAGGTAAATCTGCAATCATAGCGGACTTTTTAATGCCTCTCTCAATAGCTTATTGAATAAGCAAACCAAAATCACTTAAAAATCTGATCAATATGAATAATAAACCAGACTAGATAGACAGATCGCTGCACTCAACATTAATTATTTTCAGGTAAACATGGAACATTTACCAAAATATTCCTATTTGGAATCAATGGCAAGACCCTTATTTATAACAAAAGAGAAAACCAAGGTAGGGCCCAAGGTCACACTGGAAGCAGAGTTGTAATTAAAGGCCAGCTATTATGATGACCTAAAGTTCAGTTCTGACCCCGTATCCAATATATGACCCTTTCTTTCACACCATTCTTTAATAAAATCTAATATCCACAGATTAACCTGCCCGTAGCATCACAGTCACATCCCATAGCCAAACTGGACTTAGGACTCATGCCCCCATTTCAGCATCAAAATGAGCCCCCGCAATTGGAAAGTCCTTGACTTCCACTTCTATATAGCTGAATACCTACTGCTAACCTCACTGAAAACCCGTCTGGGTCCCTGCAGCAGCCCTACCTCCCTGAGACCTACAGCAATCCCCTTCCTTCGTAACCTCGTGTAAAAACTTCCTAAAGTCTGTCAGTCTGCACCTGAAAAACACCTTTCCTCCATGAAGGGAAGAAAGGTTAGAAGTATTTTCTAGGAGAACAAAGTCGAACAGTGCGACTGGAAACCGGACAGTGACCCACCAGTAAGCTATATATTTCACATTGCAGTGAAGAATATACTTCAACAGTATGTATATGTCTCTGAAACTAAAATATCTTGCCATGTATATGTATAGTTCATTCTAAGGATGTACAATATTAATTCTAATCTTTTCTATTTAATTCCATTCTGTTTAAATTGTTCTGTTTTTTGAGACAGAGTCACTCTGTCACCCCCGCTGGAGTGCAGTGGCGCAATCTCAGCTCACTGCAACCTCCCCTCCTGGGTTCAAGCAATTCTTGTGCCTCAGTCTCCCAAGTAGTTGGTATTACAGGCACACACCACCACACCTAGCTAATTTTTGTATTTTTTCTAGTAGGGATGGGGTTTCACCATGTTGGCCAGGCTGGTCTCAAACTCCTGACCTCAGGTGATTCTCCCACCTCAGCCTCCCAAAGTGCTGAGATTACAGTTAACTTGTTTTTATATGCTGATCCTGATGCATTAAGTTAATTTCACAGTTTTCTAAAGGTTCATAACCTACAGTTTGAAAGGTTCAACTGGGTGAGCTAGAAGGCCCAGAAATCCCCACCAGGGCCAGAACGGCACGTTCTTTCCTGACCTGGCTTCTCTTTCCTCCCACCTTGCCATCTCCAAGCCTGAAACATCACCTGCCAATTGCTTGGGCAACAACATGCGTGTCTCTGAATCATAGCTGTGGGCAATCCTCCAGCACACAGACACCCACAGATGGCTCCATGCATCAGGCAGGTGTCAGCAAAGGCTCCAGAGGCTTCTGATGCTACAAAGCACCCAAGACCAGGGCTTCAACTCCACTAACCCAGGCTCCCTCTGGCTGCCCATAATCCCCTACCCTCTGAGGAGAGCCCTCCACCTTTTTTTCCTACACATCTTCCCATATATAACCATTTCCACATCAGTCTCTGTCTTCCTTAACCCGTCACCCAAAAGGGTCTGACTTCTGCCTGCTTCGCCAGGACTTTATGGTGCTCCACCAGATTCTAATTCACCATCAAGACTTTCATTCTGACCACTTTTCCCAAACAGCCTGCCTTAGCTCTACCGCTTCTCCCCACCCCACAAACACTCCCAGGCGAGGACTGCGCCGATCCTGAAACACGTCAAACTCAGCCTTCCAGGGACAGGCTCACCAAGAGTCTAGAGTGAAGGCAAGAGGGAGGGGACAGAGAAAAGCTACCGATGTGAAAACAGGGTAGCTCCTGCCCTCAAAATCATGCAGAAAGAAGACAGCCTCCATTCAATATTTTAATAAGAAATAATACATGTTACCCAGTGACAAGCCAATATGCAAAGCAGGTAACATGCCAAGTCTTCCAGGGGATAAGGACCATTAGAGGCCATCAGGGCAGTGACTCTAAAACCCATTCTGACAGCAGAACTCAGGAAGGTGTGATATTCTGTGAGGGACTGCTTGAAATGTTGCCCCAGGAAAAGGAAATAAGCAATACTCTTGGCTATCCCATAGATGACACTTCATACTAAATTCCTGAACGGCTAAGTAACAGTGGGTGCCAAATATTAAGGTAACAATTAGGAAAGAAAACCTTACAGTTGAGAAAATTATATCCAGTTAACCAAGTCTGCTCAGCACCTTGGAGAGGGGGGCCATCCATCATGCAATGTCAGAACCCACACATTACCCAGCTCCCAGAATACCAGGCTCTCAGGGAGCACAGTAGTACATGAGCCTCTCCCCAGAACCAGTCTTGAACAAGTAGGATAGGATTTCCAAAAGAGAACAGGCAGGAGCGGAGAACAGCATATATGATGGACGGTGTATGGGAGGAGAAACATAAACCAGAAAAGTGACAGGCAGACCCATGAGGGTGCGTCTCCATGACCCACCCAGCACCAGCACCATCATGGACCACTCAGACCTCTGCTGCCTACAGCCCTGCAACTAACCACTCACCCAAGCTCAGGGTCCAAATCAAGCCACCAAAACTGTGGCTTGCATTAATTATATCACCCTGGAGAACCTACTGAGGACAGCTGAGTGTCAAAGAAATGCAATCCCAGTAACTAACTTACAGTGTACCACAGCAAAGGAGATGGCGCTTTAACAGGAACATCTGGGCCAGCGAATTAGCAGCAGACATGACAAACATGATGTCATCAGAGCAGACACAACTGCTATAAATCTTCACTATAAAATCACCCTTCAACTTGTATAAAAAGAGCGCATGTGTACTGGGCACGATGACTACTCAACCCCCCAAAGAAAAGTACAGAAAAATGGCTTGAAACAGCAGCAGCTGGAGGCCACGGCATCTTGTCACTCCACTCATGAGCCGCAGGCCTGGGGGAACCCAGGGCTCCCTAAATGTCTGGTCCCAAGAGAAAGAAAGCCCTGCTGAGCTGCTGAACAGCCCCAGGGAAGAGCTTTTCCTCACTACCCAGCCTCCTTCTTGAGAGGCCTCCAAAGCAGCGGTAGTGAGCCTGAGGCAGGGGTGAAACAGAGACGCTGCAGACACCGCCTCCAAGCAAGGCCTGCCAAGCAGTCCAAGCTCAGCTCCTGGCATGGCATCGACCCTGTACCAACCCACAGGGAAGAGCCAGGCAGAGCTGGAATCCAGTAACTGAATCATCCTCCCATGAAAAACCCCAGCTCCCCCAACAGCTCATGCAGGGGCAGCTGCCGCCACCTCCTCCCCCAACACCTTCCCTGGGATACTACTGGGTCCCCACCTCCAAGCAGGCCCCATTGTGGTGCCCAGGCAGGGCAGGTGAGGTGGCCCAGGGGCACACAGCCACCTTACCTCCGAAGTTGGCCAGCCGGCCAATCCTCGTCACGGGCACCTTCCGCTCCCGGGCATGCTCACTAAGCTGGAGGGAGACCAGAAAGAGACCTGTGGAATCAGCCAAGGGGACAGGACCAACCTTCAGAGGCTCCTGTTGCCCCCACATCTCCTCTCCACCCCACAGGCAGCATCTCCGCCTGACAGCACACTCCACCAAGAGGAGGCCTCCACGTTCCTAAAAACCCCAGACCACAGCACCCAGGAAAAGTCCCTAGAGCAGGACCCAAGGCCAACACTGCTGTGGGTGGGAGCTACCTCAGCCCTCCAGGGGCCTCCCAGACGTACCGTCTGTTTGTGCTGCTTGTTCTCGGGGCGAGCCTTAGCCTGCCGGGCCTTCTCGATGTCCTCAGCTGTGAGGCCCCCCACAGGGGATTGGTCCTGGTGGAAGAACCTTCGCTGAAAGCCCATGGCAGAGAATGAGTCTCTGGGGTTTGCAAAGAGCCTCCCGTTGGCCCTGCCCAGAGGGGAGGCAGCCTGGCCGGGGAGCCCGGCTTCTCTAAAGGGTCCACTGGCCACGTAGGCAGGAGCTGGGCCCTCGCTGTGGGCATGACCCAGGGGTGGAGGCACTGACTGGTCAGGAGCGGAGGCTGCAGAGAAGTCTGTGGAGGCCCCGGCTGCCTGCGGGACTGAGAAGTGGAACTCCCCTTCTGGGCCATCGAAGTTCTCAACAAAATATTCTTCACGTTTATCCTGACCCTGCAGGGAGCAAAGACCAGCATGAGGACAGCAGGAGTGAACCAGGAGCTCCTCCCTGCCTGTCCCCTGCTGCCTAGGACAGCACACCACCAGGATCCCGCCCCCTCCCACCTCCAGAGATGGCACGGTGCTGCACCCAAGACCCGGCACCCTTCCCAGCCTGGGAGCCAAGACCTGGGCTCCAGCCCTGCTTCTGTTGGGGCTCTGCTGTGTGGTCCTAGGTGGGACACTGAGCACCTACTGTGTGCCCAGCCGGGGCCAGGCCAGGTGCACACTACGCCCGCAGCGGGCTCCTCGCTTATAAAACAGGGCCAAGGAGGCCTCCAGGGCTTTGGAGATGGTAAACCAGGGCACAAACGACAGGGAAAGCTCTGAGAAGTGAACACACAGCCTAAGGCCAGCAAGGGGTGAGGGAAGCATACCGATGGGCCCACCTAAGTCCACAGCTCACTGCAGACATGGATGCCACCGGCCAGCCGGAGTGTGCATGTAAGAGATTTTCACTGGAGAGGTGGTCACAACCAGGACTAGGCCTGGCCGTCCCTAGGAGTTCAGGGCTCAGGGAAATGGAGGGGCAGGGGAGAGGATACGCCGTGTGTTCTTTGTGACGGTCACCAGGGCCTGAGCTTCGGGCCCAGGTCCTTTCTGCTTCTGAACCAAGAGTGACCTTGAGTGAGCTCCTGACCCTTCTCTGCTACTTCCTCATCTGAAAATAGGGCTCCTCACAGTCATAGTTACTGGAGGCCATAGACAGGGCCAGGAAACAGCACCCAGGAGCCTATAATTAGAACAGCACCAGCTTCTGGAGGGAGACCAGTGGCCTGGATTCCCAGCTTCATCTGAAAGGAGTGAAATGCGCAGGCAGCCACGTGCTGCCTGCAGGGTACGCAGACAGCAGGAGACCCAAGCCTCTCTTGTCTAAGATGTCACAGGATGGGAGGGAGGAAAGAGACAGGTTGTTACACTCACTTCAAAAACAGGAAACTGAGGCAAAGATGGCTGATGTGCTGGTGAAGGTCACCAGGCAGCAAATGACAGAGCCAGGATCCAACACCCAGGCTGGCCCTGCTGGCTGCAACACTATTCTCAGAGTAGAAACAAGTTGTATTTAAGTCAGTGCAGTGGCTCACACCTGTAATCCCAGCACTTTGGGAGGCGGGAGGATCACCTGAGGTCAGGAGTTCAAGACCACCCTGGCCAACATGGTGAAACCACATCTCTACTAAAAATACAAAAATTAGCCAGGTGCAGTGGCAGGCACCTGTAATCTCAGCTACTCGGGAGACTGAGGAAGGAGAATTGCTTGAATCTGGGAGGCGGAGGTTGCAGTGTGCTGAGATTGCACTGCTGCACTCCAGCCTGGGTGACGGAGCAAGACTCCATCTCAAAAAAAAAAAAAAAAAAAAAAACCCACAGACGTCATATTTAAATTCACAGAGCCCCCGGGAAAGCCTTGCCATGAGGAAGCCTAGACAAAGCCCTCCTTCTGCCCCATCGCTCCCATATGGTCCCCTGGCCCTGTGCTACTAACACCTGTCGGTGTCACTGTGGAAGCCCAAGGCCAGTGGGGGGTCCCCAGGGCCCCGAGGGGACCCGGGCTCAGTAAGTATCTGCTGAACGAATGCAGGAGCAACCTTGACAGGCTGGAGGGAGACAGGCTCCTGGAGTCCGTGACCTTCCTCCCCTCAGCAAGAAGGGAGACAGTGAAAAGCGAAGCACTGAGGGAGTGAATGGCAGTGCACCGCGGGCGGCCACCCTGCTCCGGGCAGCCACCCTGCTCTGAGGGAGTGAATGGCAGTGCACCGCGGGCGGCCACCCTGCTCTGAGGGAGTGAATGGCAGTGCACCGTGGGCGGCCACCCTGCTCTGAGGGAGTGAATGGCAGTGCACCGCAGAACCAGTCTGAACAAGTAGGATAGGATTTCCAAAAGAGAACAGGCAGGATGAGAACAGCATATATGATGACTGTGCATGGGGAGGAGAAACATAAACCAGAAAAGTGACAGGCAGACCCATGAGGGTGCGTCTCCATGACCCACCCAGCACTAGCACCACCAATTCACCCAGACCTCTGCTGCCTACAGCCCTGCAAACCAACTAATCAAGCTCAGGTCCCAAATCAAGCCACCAAAACTGTGGCTTGCATTAATTAATATATCACCCTGAGAACCTACTGAGGACAGCTGAGTGTCAAAGAAATGCAATCCCAGTAACTAACTTACAGTGTACCACAGCAAAGGAGATGGCGCTTTAACAGGAACATCTGGGCCAGCGAATACACATGACAAACATGATCATCAGACACACAACTGCTATAAATTCACTATAAAATCACCTTCAATCTGTATAAAAAGAGCGCACGTACTCGCACCTATGACACCAACTCCCCAAAGAAAAGTACAGAAAATGGCTTGGAAACAGAGCAGCTGGAGGCCACGATCTTGTCATCACCATGAGTCAGCAGGCCTGGGGGAACCCAGGGCTCCCTAAATGTCTGGTCCCAAGAGAGCAGCCCTGCTGAGCTGGGCTGAACAGCCCCAGGAAGAAGCTTTTCCTCACTACCCAGCCTCCTTCTGAGAGGCCCCAAAGCAGCGGCAGTGAGCCTGAGGCAGGGGTGAAAACAGAGACTTCTGCAGACACCGGGCCCAAGCAAGGCCTGCTACAGTCCAAGCTCAGCTCCTGGCATGGCATCGACCCTGTACCAACCCACAGGGAAGAGCCAGGCAGAGCTGGAATCCAGTAACTGAATCATCCTCCCATGAAAAACCCCAGCTCCCCCAACAGCTCATGCAGGCAGCTGCCGCTGACCTCCTCCCCCCCAAACACCTTCCCTGGGATACTACTGGGTCCCCACCTCCAAGCAGGCCCCTAATAGGTGCTCCAGGCAGGGCAGGTGAGGTGGCCCAGGGCACACACAGCCACCCATCTCGGGTTGGCCAGCCGCTAACTGGCCACGGGCACCTTCCGCCTCCCGGGCATGCCTACCCAAGCCGTGGGAGGGAGACCAGAAAGAGACCTGTGGAATCAGCCAAGGGGACAGGACCAACCTTCAGAGGTTCTGCTGCCCCCACATCTCCTCTCTCCACCCCCACAGGCACTCCGCCTGACAGCACACTCCACCAAGAGGAGGCCTCCACGTTCCTAAAAACCCCAGACCACAGCACCCAGGAAAGTCTCAGAGCAGGACCCAAGGCCAACACTGCTGTGTGACACCAGTCTCCAGGCCTCCCCAGACGACTCCGTCTGTTTGTGCTGCTTATGTTCTCGGGCGAGCCTTGAATGGCCGGGCCTCTCGATGTCCCTCAGCTGTGAGGCTCCCACAGGATTGGTCCTGGTGGAAGAACCTTCGCTGAAAAGCCCATGGCAGAGAATGAGTCTCTGGGTTTGCAAAGAGCCTCCCACAGCCCCTGCCCAGAGGGGAGGCAGCCCTGGCCGGGGAGCCCGGCTTCTCTGAAAGGTCCACTGGCCACGTAGGCAGGAGCTGGGTCCCCGCTGTGGCATGACCCAGGGTGGGAGGCACTGACTGGTCAGGAGCTGAGGCTGCAGAGAAGTCTGTGGAGGCTCCCCGGTTGCCTGCGGACTGGAGAAGTGAACTCTCTGGGCCATCAAGTTCTCAACAAAATATTCTTCACGTTTAACTGGACTTTGCAGGGAGCACCAGCATGAGGACAGCAGGAGGAACCAGAGCTTCCTCCCTGCCTGTCCCCTGCTGCCCAGACAGCACACCACCACCAGGATCCCGCCTCCCACCTCCAGAGATGCGACGGTGCTGCACCCAAGACCCTGCACCTCTCCCAGCCTGGGAGCTAAGACCTGGGCTCCAGCCCCTGCTTCTGTTGGGGTTTGCCAGGTGGTCCCAGGTGGGACACTGAGCACTCACTGTGTGTGGCCTGTCGGGCCAGGCCAGGTGCACAGACTACGCCTGAGCGGGCTCCTCGCTGCAAAACAGGGCCAAGGAGGCCTCCAGGGCTTTGGAGATGAAACCAGCACAAACGACAGGGAAGCTCTGAGGAAGGAAATACACAGCCCATGGCCAAGCAAGGGGTGAGGGAAGACACTGATGGGCCCACCTAAGTCCACAGCTCACTGCAGACATGGGATGCCACCGCCACTGAGTGTGTGCATGTAAGAGATTTTCACTGAGAGGGTCATAACTGTGACTAGCCCGGGTCAGTCCCTAGGAGTTCAGGGCCCAGGAAATGGAGGGGCAGGGAGAGGGATACGCCGTGTGTTCTTTGTGACGGGGCCACCAGGGCCTGAGCTGGGTCAGGTCCTTTCTTGCTTCTGAACCAAGAGTGACCTTTGAGTGAGCTCCTGACCCTTCTCTGCTACTTCCTCATCTGAAAATAGGGGCTCTTCACAGTCATAGTTACTGGAGGCCATAGACAGGGCTATAAACAGCACCCAGAGCCTATAATTAGAACAGCACCAAATGGAGTGAGACCACAGTGCCTGGATTCCCAGCTTCATCTGAAAGGAGGAAATGCGCAGGTTATTTGCACGCAAGGCTCTGGGCAGGGGTACGAGACAGCAGGAGACCCCAAGCCTCTCTTGTCTAAGATGTCACAGGATGGGAGGGAGGAAAGAGACAGGTTGTTACACTCACTTCAAAAACAGGAAACTGAGGCAAAGATGGCTGATGTGAAGTTGTGACAGCCAGGCAGCAAATGACATGAGTTTAGATCCAACACCAGGCTTATTCCCACATGCAACACTATTCTCAGAGTAGAAATGTTAGATGGTTGGGTGCGTGGCTCACACCTGTAATCCCAGCACTTTGGGAGGCAGATCACCTGAGGTCAGAGTTCAGACCACCTCCTGGCCAACATGGTGAAACCACATCTCTACTAAAAATACAAAAATTCAGCTATGGGTGCAGTGGCAGGCACCTGGGTAATCTCAGCCACTCGAGACTGAGGAAGGAGAATTGCTTGAATCTGGGAGGCGAGGATGCAGGCTGAGATTGCACCTGCTGCACTCCAGCCTGGGTGAATACTTGAGCAGACTCCATCTCAAAAAAAAAAAAAAAAACCCCCATAGATGCTATATTTAATCTGAGCCTGGGAAAGCCTTGCCATGAGGAAGCCTAGACAGCCCTCCTCTGCCCCGACTGCTTCCGATATGGTCTCGCCTTGTAGCACAACACCTGTCAGTCACTGTAGCCCAAGGCCAGTGGGGTCCCCAGGCCTCTGAGGGTCTCCGCTCAGTAAGTATCTGCTGAACGAATTAGGAGCAACTCTGACACAGGCTGGAGGAGACAGGCCCGGATTCCAGATCTTCCTCCCCTCAGCAAGAAGTGAGACAGAAAAGCCAAGCACTGAGGGAGTGAATGGCAGTAACTGGCGCCACCTGCTCCTGGGCAGCCACCGGCTCTGAGGGAGTGAATGGCAGTGCACCGCGGCGCACCCTCCTGCTCTGAGGAGGAATTGCAGCACTGGGCGCCACCTGCTCTGAGGGGAGTGAATGGCAGTGGGCAACTGTGGGAAGACCGTGGGCGGCCACCCTGCTCTGAGGGAGTGAATGGCAGTGCACCGCGGGTGGCCACCCTGCTCCGGGCGGCCACTCTGCTCTAAGGGAGTGAATGGCAGTGCACCTCGGGCAGCCACCCCGCTCTGAGGGAGTGAATGGCAGCGCACCGCGGGCGGCCACCCTGCTCTGAGGGAGTGAATGGCAGTGCACTGTGGGCAGCCACCCTGCTCCGGTGCCTACCCTGCCCCGGTGCCTCCTGGGTGGTGTGGCTCATCACTCACCCCTACCTCCCAGTGACTGAGGGGGAGGCCCTGCCCCTTCCAGACACACTTCAGGAGCAGAGGGTTGGAGAGTGCCTGATCTGGAGGCCCCGCTCGCATTATGACTAAGGCCTGCCCAGGCTGTCTCACTTCTGGGCAGGCCCGAGTAAGCTGGGCAAAACACCCAAGTTTTGAGTGTCCCACTTTCTGAGTGTCCCACGGGCAAAACACCCAAGAGTGAGGCCAAGGCCCCACACTGAGGCACCGAACCAGGCAAGGGGAGGGCAAGAGCACGGAGTCCAGGCTGGGAGGGGACAAGAATTCTGGTCCTATCACTGTTATGAGTCCTGCAGCCAATTGCTTCGTCTCAGTTTCCTCATCTGAGAAATGGGGGTGATGGTCCAGGCCGGCCCCCATCCCAGGACAGCAGTGAGGCTTGGAGGAGAGCACAGATGTGAGGACTTCTGAACATTAAAGGCAGGCATGCTCGGTGACAGAGCCACTGTATCACTGCGGGATCCTCCCAGAGCGGCAAGGAAGGGCCTGCGGGTCCTAAACCTGAGATTGAGACGCCTGGGGGCTGCAACAGCCTCACAGCCTGCAGGAGGGCAGTGACCTTTGTCTAAAAATCAGCCATCCACAGAAGAGATGTGGAAGGAGAGAGGCTGTGACACAACCTCCAATGCACACATGCCTAAGGACACACACAGGTGCTCGCACACAACAGGCACACAAACACCCCCCAATCCCATCTCCCTGACTGTCAGGAAAGTTGCTGGCGACTGTGCAAGGTGACGCCATGGTGGGCAGCGCTCTGCTGTAGCCAGCCCTGTTTATAGTCACCTCTCCAGCACACGATTTCACTAAAAACCACCCCCTGGAGTAAGATGACCTTGGCACAAAAGGTCATCTCTACCCCTAGATGGCACAGGGATGAGAGAGAGGCTGGAGACAAAGTTGCTTTTGGAAGGGCTGTGCCAGCTGCCACCCAGGAAAGGAGAGCCCCCAGTGAGAAGCCCCGAGACCCTCAGCAAACTGAAGGAGAAAAATGAGGTCGGGCCTTGGCGGAGGCTCAGCAGGCTCAGTGGGAAGGGCCTTCGAAGGCTGAGCCAAGCTGATGGACACCCGGGCCCCGGTAAAAACTGCATGTGTATGTCTCCAAAGAGCACGCGTTGAAACCTAGCCCCTAGTGTGACAGTATTGGGAGGTGGGGCCTTTGGGAAGTAATTAAGTCATGAGGATAGAGCCCTCCTCAATAGGATTGATGCCCTCATAACAGAGGCTCCAGAGAGCAGCCCTGCCCTCCTCCTGCCCTATGAGGACACAGTGAGAAGATGGCCATCTACGGATTAGGAAACGGGCCCTCACCAGACACTGAATTTTCTGGCACCTTAATACTGGACTTTCCAGCCTCTAGAACTTTGAGAAATAAATGTGCGTTAAGCTACCAGTCTATGGAATTTTGTTATAGTTGCCACCGCCTCACACAGGGGCCCTGTCCTACCCTGGAAGGACTGTGGGACACATTAGCTGGTGGGCCCTCAGGCCCTGGCCACCACAGACCAGTTGCCATGGTCACGGCCCTTGGTCTCCTCCAGAGCTCCAGGTCCCGCCCTCTTCCTGCCAGCACCCCTCCCACTGCCAGGCCCTCTTACCTGTACCTTCCCCAAGAACATGCCAATCTGCTCCACAGCCGTGGACTGCAGGGCCCTGGCCGCCATGATCAGCTCCCCTCCGATGCCCAAGTGCTGCAGGTGGGTTTCCACGGCTGCCTGGGTCAGCTTGACAAGGCCTTTGGCCACCATGATGGTGTCTCCTAATATGGTAGCCATCCTTTGGGGCTGAAAAAAAGGAGGCCAAGTCAGGGGAGGCCCCGGGCCTCTGCAGGCCAAACCCACACTACCAACTCCACACAAAACTCTGAGCAGAAAGTCCAGAGGGCTGGTTTTTCCACTGATCTCCCCTTCTGCTAAGAGATAAGAAAGGGCCCAGGGCTCAAGGGAGACTCCACGTGACTCTGGACACTCCAGGGGAATAGAGCAGAATAAAGACCATTGAGTCGGTGGTGCAGTGTGCTCGCTGCTTCCCACACATTTCCTCTCCTGGGCCTCACAAGCACCCTACGGAAAACCTGAGGCACGGACAGGTGGTGTGATTCATGATTCACAGCAGAACCAGGGCTTGAGTCAGGCGCACAGACTCCTAGTCTAGGGTTCTTCCCTCTGGACCAAAACTGCCTATTGGGACAGGAGCATCCAACTGCCAAAGAACTTCCCTGCAAGGTCCAGGGGACCACTCACAGCATTGGTGCTCCAACCCGAACCCTCAGGGGCTGAGGCTGCCTGTCCCTGCCCAGCTGCCGTTGCTCTGCCCAGTGAGGCCTGTGACAGATATCCACAGACCAAGGGACAACCAGAGCCCCTCCCTGACTCCTCAGGGTCGGCCCACCCTCAGCTTCAACTATTCACCAAACCGATGTTTTCAAACTGCAGTCCAGACCCACAGTGCAATCAATTTGGAAGATCCTAACCACCATTCAAAAGAAATGAACAACCAGCACCACCACCAAGCACCACTACCACCACCACTACCACCACCAAGCATCACCACCATTGCCACCACCACCACCACCACCAAGTACCAGCACCAAGTACCACTACCACCACCACCACCACCAAGCACCACCACCGCCACCAAGTACCACTGCCATCACCACCAAGTACCACCACCACCACCAAGTACTGCCACCACCACCAAGTACCATCACCAGGACCACCATCAAGTACCATCACCACGACCACCACCAAGCACCAACACCACCAAGTGCCATCACCACCACACCACCAAGCACCACCACATGATGCAAAATCAAAAAGGAAGCATCAAGGAGCACTGTGAGTAGCTTTCTTAGTTCACATGTCCTACTTTCAAAGTGGCAAATAAATAAGCCATCTAAAAAAGTACACACTGAACAGTACTTAGTTGTGCCTTTCTTCCTACCTAAACAGTTGCATCCTACATACCCAGTGAACTCCCAACTGGTGCCAAGTCCCACCCCAGACAGTGGTGCCAGAGCCAGGAAGCAGAGATGGTGAGCGCCCACTCTTCTGGAAGGAGGGCCTGATGAGGGGAACACCCTACAGATATATGGCCCTGCAAACTGGGAGGCAAAACCTGTTCTTCTCAAATCAATAAACACTGCTAAAAAACAGATGTTGCTAATAAACACAGTCTGTCATTTGTGAGCACAATAACATGTAGACTCATTTCAAAACCACAGCCTGTATCTACCCGCCTTTGACAAATATTGCTGACCTACTGTTCAGGGTCCCCACCTACACCTCCCCTTACCATACAAAGTGAACCCTTTACACCTCATCAATATCACGTACCTTTTTTTTTTTTTTTAGGAGAGGGGTCTCACTATGTTGCCTGGGCTGGAGTGCCATGGCTGTTTACAGGCATAATTGTGGCACCCTATAGCCTCAAATTCCAAGGCTCAAGTGATGCTCCCACCTCAGGCTCTCAAGCAGCTGGGATTACAGGTCCGTACTACCATGCCAGCTTAATACCAGGTATTTTTCTGCAAGGGAGTCTCTGCTCTCATAGAAGTAGAAAGGAGGGAAGGGGAATAACTACCAGAAGGAAACATCTATCCAGAACTTTTCTCACCTTCTGCTTTCAAAAATTAGGTCTTAAAACCCTACTTCTAATGCACCACAATCCCAAAGTGCCTCATAATTCAACGATCCCACAATTTCACTGCAAATCCCTTCCAGGGCTGCACCAAGAACCAGGCACACAGTTACACCAGGAGGTATTTTCATCATGATTTTAAAGAAATAAAAGCCCCCAAACACATGTAATACACAAGTTAAAAATCCTATCAGCATCGTGATTTCATCTGCAAGTACCCAACCCTCGCTAGGAACACCAGTCTCCCACCCACCCTACTTCTTCCTGCAACTCCATGAGCATGTTTTTGGGGTCTCCCCTGTAAGTAACAGAAATGGAGTGTTTGGGCTCTGTGCCTCCTTGGTATAGCGGACTCCTGAAGGCCTCCGTGTGCCTGCCTGCTCTCCTCTGAGGAGGGGACAGCCAAAAGAGTGGCCACAAATAATAAAGCAGTGGAGGTGGGAGACAGGTGCTCATGTTTGGGAGTGTCCACTAGCCAGGCACGAAACCAAAATAAAAAGTCATCCAGAAGTTCCTTCAACACAAGTTCACTGACTTCTCCCAGTGCTCCAGGCTAGTTCCTGCAGACCCCGGATGAACCTGCCCTGGCCCAGGGCTCATGGCAGCGTGGCAGGCCCGTACCTCTATAATGGGCACAGATACCAGGAAGACAGCTGGAGGCCAACTGATGCTGACACGCCAGGATCACAGGCAGAGTGGAAGAGATGACTTGGAGCTGGGACATGGGGCTCCAAGCCCACCCCCACCAGCTGCCGCTGCCCAGTATGCGGCTCGACCTCTTCCATCCCCCCTCAGTAGCTCAGTTCGGAAGGGCTCTGGGTGCCTCATCAGGCCCCTTTTCTGGTCCTAAGGTGCTAAACTGCTCTGACGGACTTTTGTGGGGTTGACAGTCTTTTTGATTTATTTGGGGGGCATAATGGTTGTTTTTGGCTATCCTATGGCAATGGCTACTGAGGAGTATCCTGAAACATGAGATCAAATATTGACATCTGAGGGGCTTTATTATTAGGACTATTAATGGAGTTGATGCTGGTTCAGTAGTTGAGCACGATGGAGTGGGGATCACGGTTGAAGTAAATAAATGTCTTTATTGAAGTGTCTAGAGAGAGAAAGAACCATGATACATGCAGCTTCCCAACCCCAGGGACAGGGGTTGAGAAAGCTGCACAAGGCTGTGTTCCCACCACGGGAGGGCGTTTTCTGGCCAAACTTTCACTGCCTGACCTTTCCGGGACACCGTCTCGCTCACGCTGGAGACGAGGCTTCAACTTGGGGATCCTGACCTGCACATGAGCTGGTAATTATCTGGGTCATGGGGACCTTCAAATCTAGTCTCCGAAACTAAAAGACACCCCCACGGGCTAACTGGCCAGATACAAGAAGATATATCAATAGGAAAATGAGTTGTGTCCTTTTTTAAAATGAATTCAACAGGCAATCCTGATAGACAGCAGATGAGAGTATCACACACTGTACACTCAGGACCCACCGGGAGGAAGGAATTTTACTCTGAGGATGCCATATACACGCCAAGTCCCCCCTTCAGAGCCAGAACTCACCGTCTGTCATTCATCTCCTCTAAGACAGCAGGCCAGGGACATTGTCTGCATTACCAAGCCGCTGTTCAATCTCCTCCGTAAATACAGAGTGTGGCATTATCAACCAGCTCCTCCCCAGCAACGCATGGTATGTGTTCTCTCTAAAAGCCAAGGACCCACCGTCCTCGGGTCTCTTGCAGTCATATCTGCCACCGAAGTCTCAACATGACTGGTATAAGAAGTCAGAAGCAAGTGGCACAAAAGGCCTTTCTTCTGGGCAAAGTGTGAACCAGGGAGAGTGGGGGCCAGGGAAAGTGTGAATCAGGGAGAGTGGGAGCCAGGGAGAGTGGGAGCCAGGGAGAGCGGTAGCCAGGGAGAGCAAGAACCAGGGAGTGCAGGAGCCAGGGAGAGTGTGAACCAGGGAGAGCGGGAGCCAGGGAGAGCAGGAACCAGGGAGTGCGGGAGCCAGGGAGTGCAGGAGCCAGGGAGAGTGTGAACCAGGGAGAGTGTGA